TCAATTAAACCATCACTTCATTTGGAGTCTAATGTCTGAATCTCATTTCTTTAAACTCTATTTTGGAGTAGTTTCTATCTAACAAAGTAACAATTCAAGAAATTTTCAAAACTATAGCAGTTGTTCTGTGCACAAACCAAACCTCACAAATCACAGAGATGAGACTAATCAAGCTCACAAGACACGGAGAAATCTCATTGGTTGGGCTGCGGAGGTAGCCGAGACCTACTCAGGGGAAAGAACGCAGGACAGGCATCTGCTTGGGGGAGAGGACGACGAGGTAGCGCTGAGGCTCCTAGAGAAGGAGGCGCTGCTTGGGTAAGGAGCTTCTGGAACATCAACGTTGGTCGGGCAGGGGCTCCTGGAAGCGGCGGCGCTGCTCGAGGGAGGAGCTTCTGGAAGCGGCAGAGCTGGTGGGGGTGATTCCAGGGGAGAACGCATGGAGGAGGCTTGGCTGCTTGGGGTTGCTGGTGTGTGGCGAATCGTGGTCAGGGCAGCGGAGGGTGCTCGGCGTCGTGGTCGGTGAGGGAGTTGGCGCTGGGGTGTGGTGGACGGTGGTCGGCGTCATGGTCTGGGATGGATCTGGCACAGGGATGTGGTGGAGGGCGCTCGGCAGCCGCGAAGGGTGGGCGGCGGTGATGGCGGCGGCGGAGGAGGGTGGTCGAGGAGGCGGCTAGGTCTTGGAGGAGGTGGACGGGCCGGTCGATTTCGATCTGAGATGGAGTTTGGGGATTTTATCCTTTTGGACCGAAAATTTTGCTTCTCGCGCGCTCTTACGTGCCATCACTCGTATGGGCCAATATTCGTTCGGTCCGGCCCATCATAATCCCCGGCAGATACAGTGCCCTGTTTCATTTGTAACGGCACATACTCTATCCTAAGAAGTGAAGCATTGTTCCCGGCAGTGTAAGTGCCCTAGTTGCTGGATATCTGCCGGCAGTTTGTCTGCCATTAAGTACTTTTACCGGCAGTAGAACAATTCCCGGCAGATGATTTGCCTTTGCTATAATATTTCTGCCGGCAGTTAATTGCCCCCAATCAAGGGTTGTGGTGTAGTGTATCTCGATCATTTAACACCCACGGTATCCAATGCAAGAGACCGAGATGTGCATTAGTGCTAGATTAAGTGACATTTTAGATTTTTACATATCTCCATCATTTAACACCCATGGTATCCAATGCAAGAGACGAAGATGTGTATTAGTGCTAGATTCGGTGGCATTTTAGATACTATTAGTTGAGTGCCCGTGCGTTGCCACGGACTAATGATGAGATATACATATAAATTATTTACCGTGAACATACGATGTAGAACACAATGTCAATACAGTTTATCACCATGTCACAAACCCTTGCATGTTTTTTTTTCATTTTTTATACACATTTAATATTTTTGAAATACATGATTAACATTTTCTCAAATATATATTTTGATGTCAACTTTTTTTCTCATACAAGGACATCGGGAACATTTTGTTATAGATGTTTAACATTTCTGAAACACAAGATTAACATTTTTTTCAAATATATGCTCGAATGCCTAGTTTTTCTCATACATAACGGGAGCAGGCCCACTTTTCAAATATATGTTGGGATGCCTACATTTTTTTTTCAAATACATGTCTGCAGCGGGAGCTACAACCGGAGACGACAGGTGTTGCGATTGGCAGTGGCTGGATGGGCGGGCAGCAACCCTCCTGAACGAGCAACAACACCTCTGGGCGAGTGGCGATGCGGGGTCGTCGGGGTTCCTAGACGAGCAGCGGAGTCACTGCCCTCCTGGACGAGTGGCGGCGGTGGCGACACTCTTCGACGGCTAGACGAACGGCGGCAACTGGGAAGGGGTTTGGTTCGTCAGCAGGCTTCTCTCGAGTCAGTTTAGTTCGTGGGCTGCCTGTCTTGGCCCAGCACGGAGCAAGCTAGTGGGCTGTGACCCAGGCCTAATGTTATACCCTCAAAGATAGTAAAAAACTTCTTCTCCCCTGATGGAATGGGATACAAGATCGGGAGCTCCTACCCAGCGCTGCAGGCGCCCGTTAACGATCCGGCGCCTGCAGCGCTGCTACATGGGCCGGCCCACTAGCGTGCTGCCATAGTTTTATTTTTTGATTTTCTATGTTACGAAAATAAAAATATGAAATCAAAAAAGGTTTAAAGGTTTAAAGAAAAAAGGTTCATCCATTTTAAAAACAAGGTTCATAAATTTTGAAAAAAGTTCATCAATCTAAAAAATTCATTCAAATTGAAAAAGTTCATCCAATTTAGAAAAAGTTCATTATTTTTTTAAAAAAAGTTCATGAAATTTGAAAAAAGTTCATAGAACTTTGAAAAAGGTTCATTTATTTTTAGAGAAAGTTTATTGAACTGAAAAAAAAGTTCATAAATCTAAAAAAAGTTCAGCCATTTTCAAAAAGATGTTCATCAAATTTAAAAACGTTCATCAGTCTGAAAAAGGTGTTGAAATTTAAAAAGATTCATCGATATTCAAAAAAGTTCATAGAATTTTCAAAAAAAGAAATCGTCAACTGGCGCCTAGATGGTCCGGCGCATTTACGGATGCCACAGGCGCTGCGCCAAATAGGAAATGCCTACAAGATCAGCTACATGGTAGATGTTCAGAGAGAGAGACACCCTGATGATGCTTCAGCGGCAACTCGATCCACAATAACATAGGCTGAATACTTCATCAGCTACTTAGTCCATGTCAGCGTACTTACAAAAGCGCGCAGGCCACAATCAAGGTCTGCACCTTGACAGAGGATGATCCCTCCCACACGAGGCGGCGAGGGTTCAGGGAATCTCATTCTCACCTGACGGTGGAATACATTATGCATTCCCTGGATATGAAGTGAAAAGGCTGGTGGGGCACAGGGTTCCTGAAACACAAGATAACAAGACCTGTCTAAGTAAAAAACACGAGACTTAAGTATCTATTTAAATCAGGGTCATTACTCATTAGTGTGTACAAACTGTCTGTTATTCGCACGTAAAATCAACATCTAAGTACTATTTTTACATCTAAACTGGCGGTGCTTGGATTTAACCTTTCTCATCAAGGAAAAGGTAGAAATTATTGACCATGTATTCTTGTGTTACGGAATGCAAATAGATGGTAGGTTGGCTGCTTGTAAAGTATTCAACTTACGGCTGTGGCCCGTATATCTTGATATGTCGGACATGAGTGTCCCTCCCGTTCAGGTGATTGGCCAACACCGCGATTTGGAGCATAAATGTATGAATGAATGTTTCTCTGCACAAACACGCCAAGAAAGAGAATTATAAAGTATGCAACTGCCTACAAAGGCCATACGCTTAAGGGTATGCAATTCAAGGGTATGCAATTCAGGGGTGGCAAGGTCTAGTAATAGACTGTTGGGTGCATGGTGCAAGCCATACATTGGTGTTACGGATGCTCTTATCGCCGAGGCAATGGCGTTGCGTGATGGTGTGCTTTTTGCCAAACTTCGAGGTTACACGCATGCGATAATGAAGGTGAACTGCCTGGAGATGGTTTATCTCTAGAACACTCGTCACAGTTCCTGTTCTATTGTGGCCCCTATCTTAGTTGAAATTGGAGAGCTTACTAGTGATTTTTCTCTTTTTGTAATTCAACATATAATCCGGCCAGCAAACGTTCCAGCGCATCTATGTGCCAACCGTGCTTGCACATTGAATGTGATTGATAGCTGGCTCGAGGACACTCCCGGCTTCCTCTTGACCAGCCTATTGGCTGACCGTCAGGAGAACGCCTTCGTTTGAATAAAGCTCTCTCTATCTCGCAAAAAAAAAGCTCTCTCTATCTTGCAAAAAAAAAAGCTCTCTATATTGCCCGCAGTTCAATACCCATTACTTTTACCAAAAAACTAGGTATATATGGAAAAACGAAACTGTACACTAGGTCAAAAGTATTTCAGCCCAAAACAGAGGCTTTCCCTCCACTCCACGAGTTGGCCCATTGGCCCAAATGGCTGTAGCGCACGCAGATGACACCATGATCAGTCCATCATCGCCCCCAAAAAAGTATCCATCTATCAGATCCAGGAGACGAACCGCCCCCCAGCACCTCCCTGCCCCTGTTCTGTTCCCACGCGAGAGGTGAGCCGTCAGGCGGCCACGGCCAGGGCTGTTGCCATCCCCTGCTCCACGATCCGATGTGTGCACGGCGGCGCAGACCGCCGCCGACGGGACTAATCCATCCCCGCTCACTTTGGTTCTGATCCCTGCAGTCGGCAGCGGGCAGCACACATTGATTCAGTTTGAAACCAACAACCCACAGATTCAGGTATAATATATATGCAAATTAGATGTATTAATCCATCACTTCTGAAACTGGGCCACTCATGACAATTCTTATTTCTTAGTCGAACTGAATTCATCGATAGGGGCACGGTTTTCTTCTTGTACTGCTAAACACTTGTCTGTCTATTTAATTATAATGGCGAAATTAGAACATGTAGTCTTTTTTAATTATAATGGTGAAATTAGTTTGAACACATGTCTGTCTATTCACATGTGTACAAAACTAAGTTAGCTTCAACACTTGTCTGTCTATTTATTTATAGTGAAATTAGAACTCGTTTGTAGTCGGCTATGAATTATTTAGACATGAGAAGTTGCAATTTTCCATCTAAATTTGCAATGTAAGAATGTTAATAAATTTTGAATTTGTTACAGTGAGCATTATTATCTATAAAGAATAGTACTCCACAATTTTTACGCCTATATGTTGAAAAATACCAAGTGATGATCAATTTTTATGAATATAACATATTATGCGATATCTTTCATACAGTTTAGAACTAGTATAATATGCTGCTAGGCTTCCAATAAAAAGAATTCTAATTTTGAATACACTGTGTTCAATTCCTGGGACGAGCTGCTGCGGACCAGGGGATGTGGTGATACGTGATAATCTTGGTTTCTCTGCCTATTCCCCGTCTGGTTGCTTCCTCTCACTGACGCTATGTACCTAATAGCTCGGCAGCCTTGGTGGAGGCGACATGGTCAGCACAAGGTCCATGAGTCTTCGTAACGAGGGAAACATGGAAAGGGCGCTGGCCAGTGGCAAGGACCGCATCAGCGCCCTCCCCGATGAGCTCCTCCAGCATGTGATGTCCTTCTTGCTCTCCCGCGACGCCGTGCGCACATGCTTGCTCGCTAGGCGCTGGAGCATGCTCTGGAAGTCCGTGCCTGCCCTACGCATCGTGGATGACCTTGCGACTGACTCCTACAAGTTCGTGGATGAGCTGCTGCGCCTCCGTAACCCGGCGCCATTGAACGTATGTGACATCTGTGATGCGTACGAGGATTCGGATACAGAGGATCGGTTAGCTTTTTGCGAGGAGGCATCCGATCGCATTGCGCCGTGGCTCCGGTATGCTTTGTTGCATCAAGTTCGGGTGCTACGAGTCACTGCTCCTGTCTTCCCAACCGACCTGGTTCTCGTCTCTTCACACCTGAAGAGGATAGAGCTTTGTCACATGCAGTTTGAAGAGACTCTGGATCTTTCGAGTTGCCAGGTGTTAGACGTGTTAGAGATGACAGATTGTAACATCTATGCGAGTATCTTTTGCCAGTCATTACGACACCTTAACATGAAAGGTGGATGTTTTGACAATGAAATCCGCCTTCATATTTCTGCCCCAAATCTCGTTAGCTTGAAACTAGCTCCAGAGTCAGGCTTGACTCCATTGCTTGATAGCATGCCATCACTGGTAACAGCATCTGTCGAATCTTCCGAAGAGGAGTTTCATCACTGTTTTACTCTACCATCATGTGATGAAGGATGCACTAGGGAAGAAACATTTTCTGTGGTTTTGGAAGGCTTGTCTGCTGCTACAAACTTAGAGTTAACAAGTGATGATCTGGTATGCTCCCACTTCTGCTGATTCCTATTGTTGCTTGTCATCTGCTAGATCTCATTTTATGTTTTGTATCCAGTTATCTTTCAGTACAGGCATATTGAACAAACACTATAGGAAAAAAATTATAAGCCGAGTGCCCAAAACACTAGGCTTATACCGGTTTGCACTCAGTTTATATATAAGCCGAGTGTTTTTCCTGGCTTACAGGACACGGCTTACTAAGGACCGGCTTATCAAGGGTAAGCCGAGAGCCACGAGGAAAACACTCGGTTTAAACTCATTGTGTGCATTGCATGCATGTTTGAATCTTGATGTTTTTATGTATTTGTCTGGAATTATGCATACTTTCTACTTGATACTTTAGTCATGTATTACAATTCAAACATGTAGGATTGAGATTAATCTATGAGCCATACTTTAGTCAAGTACAGGAAGGGGAGCCTTGGCGCAGTGGTAAAGCTGCTGCCTTGTGACCATGAGGTCACGGGTTCAAGTCCTGAAAACAGTCTCTTACAGAAATGTAGGAAAAGGCTGCGTACAATAGACCCAAAGTGGTCGGACCCTTCCCTAGACCCTGCGCAAGCGGGAGCTACATGCACTGGGGCTGCCCTTACTTTAGTCAAGTATAGCTTGGGATATATATAAATATTGGTATCTGGTTAACACTAGAAAGTTTTCAAAGCATGTACATTTGTATCTCAAAAAACATCATGTACTTATGAAGGTAGTTCTTGAATTGTTTCTTGTTTAACCCTCTTCGTTTTGTCCAGTTATCTGTTGTCAGAATGGATTTGAAGTGGTCCCCCATGTTTAGCAAACTAAAAACGTTGTTGCTGAATAAATGGTGTGTGGCTGGTGATTTCACTGGATTGGTTTACTTTCTCCAGCACTCACCAATTCTAGAGACACTCACGCTACAACTTAATATTCCAACTCATAAGGTATATATCCTCAAAGTATTATAGGTGTTTCCTTTTATAAGTTGCCATGTACCTTCTGCCGACTTCATCAGTAAAATACTTTATTTGCTACAGAAACAACGTGTGAATGAAGCAGATGAAAGATATGCCCCAAAGAAGCAATCATTACTACCGAAGCATCTCAAAATAGTCAAAATCATATGTGGCATGATGAAGGACGATGCTAGAGTTTACCGTGTTTTGAAGTTGCTTTGTGCTCATGGAATGCCTTCTGAGAAAATTGACATCCAATAGAACCCTCTTCTGCTATTCGACTGTAAGTAACCAGACAACTCTTCACGATTATATCTTCAATAGTTGGCATTGTACACATTGTACTCCATCAAAACCTACAACCTGTATCGAAGCAGCATTCCATACTAAACCTTCTTGCGCTGTTTCTACACCCTTTGGCCCACCATGACACCATGCATTTTAATCCCTGGCACCACGTACAAGTATGAAGTAGGAATCAAATGCTTGATTAGTCAGAGCAGGAGATGTGCTAAGTGCAGACAGCGCCGAAGGTAGGAAGACTTGTGTAGGGGTCCGTCGATTTCATCATTGTAATGTGATTGGGGCAGTTTAAGTGAGTTGCTATTTTGTTGTCGGAAGAGCGAGTAAATGGTCAAAGACGCCGCCATCTGTCAATTAACAAGTTAAACCTTGTGTTGAGTTTCATGTCAAAAAAGTACTTCCAACATTCTAATAACTACTTAGATCAAGTTGCATTTTTTTTGCGATGAAAGTAGCATGCTGGTCCAACACCATCCAAAGTGAATCTCCTCCTGCAGTATCCCCTGCATTTCTTTCATGTTCTCAGCGTGTCTTGTATTTCTTATGCTGTTATGCAGGCTTCTATATCGAGCTGCGGGTGGGGACTTACAGCTGTGCTGGTCTACTTCATCCTCCATTACCTACGCCCCCGAACCACATCATGAAGTTGCTGTGTTTTGTCTACCGGACCAGGATCTCGCCCTTGGTGCTCATGCCCGTGTCCCATATTCATATGAACTCGTACGTAAACTGCTGTATGTCCTGATTTGATGCAGCTGGAGCATGTCGTTGCAGTGTCATCGTAATTCTGCAAGTTCAGTTTTGCTCGTTTCCTGAAGTTTCCCCTCGCAAGGCCTGTATTTTGCCAAGATGCTTCATCTAGCTTTGTTCCAGATCACGCTAGGTTCTTTACAGATGTGTTATACTGTAACCCGTCTCGTGTTAACGGAAAATCGTTTTCCAGATGTACTCCCTCTGTAAACTAATATAAAAGCGTTTAGATCACTATTTTAATACTCTAAACACTCTTATATTAGTTTACCGAGGGAGTATATGTCTGGCATATGTTGCACCTTTCAGCAACAGGCCTCACTCGATCTGTTACTACGCTGATTTTTAAAAAAAAGTTTGGTTGTTGTCATTATATTGACTCCTAAGCAAGCGACCCTTATTTCTAATAACCCTAAGACTAACGGGCTATACTGCCAGCCTAGGCCCATTATGTACTATAACACTACACCTCACCTGGACATGCAGCTTGTCCTCGAGCTGCAGCCTAACCAACATATAACCATGACACGCAACACAAACCTAACACCTAAAAACAAGCCTTTTACATCTCGGCTTGTTTTATTACTCTCAACCTGAAATGGACTGGGACGCTTTATTTTGGACCCTTTAACAAAAAGTGGATACCATTTGCAAGTCGGATGTGCACATGTACAGCCACCTGGATCCCATGGACACCACCTGAACAAAAGGAGTGCATGTGTATGGCCACCTGAAAGTGGTCGCAAGAGCGACCAGCAAAGGCGCCCTCGCGGCGGCCGGTGGTGGAATGCAGTGGTGCTACGCGGTGTGCTCCTGTGACACCCTGCCTTCTCCCTGCCGGACGACTGTTGGTCTGCACCGCACAGGGAAGAGTGGAGGGCTTGCGATGGAGAATGACGAGGAGGGGTGCGCCCCCCCCCCCAACCGCCGATGTCGCAGACTTTGAGGTCGGTGCCCGCGGGAAAAATAGCATGCTCGCCGTCCGTGGCGGAAACCGCATGCCCAAGATCCCCGACGCGGCGAACAAGATCGAGGTCCTTTGCGCAGCGAAGGGCAATTTGGAGGAGCGGCAGCTGCAGACCACACATCTCCCGCACACGCCGATGCGCTAGGAGGCCACGCGCAGCAGCCTGCAGCCTCACCGCCGCCGACACGTGACGGCTAGTGATCCAAGGCGGAAGCGGTGACGGCGACGGTGGGAACTTGATCTGCTGGATGGGGATGCCCCGGGGAAGCGGTGATGGCGATGGCGGGAACTTGATCTGGTGGATCGGGACTCCTGCCACCGCGGTCGATGCGGGGCTGGAGCTGACCGGCAGTGGCTGCTACAGCGGAGCGCCGGGCACGGCGAAGGCCACCAGGAGCGGCGGCTGCCACTGCAGCCAGGGTGGGGCGATGGTGGCGGTGGATGGCAGCTGCAGCGGCCCGGCGAGCGCGGCGGAGGCCGCCTAGTGCGGCGGCTGCCACGGCAGCCATGGCGGCGCGGTGGCGGTGATGGGCGGCGCAGCCGGGTGTGGCCCGCAGGACCCGGCCAAGAACAGGCGGATCTTCTGGACCGCCTGGGTTAGGTCCCGCAGCGCCCCGGACACCTCCTCCGGGGTAAGGACGACAGGGGCGGGCATGACGGAGGATCTCGGTGCGGGCAGGAGCGGGACAATGATCGTGGTGGTCGCCGGAGGTGACGAGGTGACCGGCAACGGAAGAGACAGGTTGGGCAGCTGTGAAGACATGATCGAAGCGAAGCTAGCTAATACCAAATTGTTATGGTGCTGCTAGAAGGAGGGCGCGAGAGGGCCGGCCGGGGGCCTTTTGCCCATGGCCGGGCAAGATGGAAGTGATTTCCTTTTTAATTCTTGCTTGATTAGATTGATACATCTCCTCTCTTTATATAGAAAGGTTTACTTGACTCCTAAGCAAGGCTTACTTGATCCCTAAGCAAACGATCCTTATCTCTAGTTAACCCTAAAACTAACGGGCTATACTGCTAGTCCAGACCCATTAGGCCCATTACGTACTCTAACAGAATCAAACGCTTGATCAGCCAAAGTCGGAGACGCGTGCTAAATGTAGGGGGCAACCAAGGTAGGAAGACTTCTGTAGGGGTCCGCCCATTTCATCATCGTAATTTGATTGGGCAGTTTCAGTGAGTTGCTATTTTGTTGTCTGAATCTCGAGTAAATGGTCCAAAGACGCCACCTGTCAATTAACAAGTTAAACCTTTTGTTCAGTTTCATGTAAAAAAAAGTACTTCCAACATTCTAATAACTAGATCAAGTGGCATTTTTATTTTGCGATGAAAGTAGCATGCTAACCCAGCACCATCCAAGTGAATCTCCTCCTATTGTACCCCCTGCATTTCTTCCATGTTCTCACCGTGTCCCGTGTTGCTTGTGCAGGCTTCTATATCGACTGGTCTACCTCATCATTCGTTATCCGCTCTCTATGTCCCCGGATCGCACCAGGAAGTTGCTGTGTTTTGTATACCAGACCAGGATCTCGCCCTTCGTGCTCATGCCCATGTCCCATGTTCATATGAACTCGTCTGTAAACTGCCGTGTGTCCTGCTTGGTTTTGCAGCTGGAGCATGTTGTTGTTGCAATGTCACCCTAGTCCTGCTCGTAGTGCGCTTTCGCTCATTTTCTGAACTCGGTAGGTGCCGGGCCTGAACTCTGGTTCCCCCTCTCCAGGCCTGTCTGTATCTTGCTAAGATGCTTCAGGATTGCTATAAGTCCAGGTGTATCTGTTACACAAATTGACGCCGTCTTGTGCCATGGATTGGTTTCCAGAAGTACTCCCTCCATTCGGAATTACTTGTCTTGGAAATGAATGTATCTAGAATGTAGATACATCCATTTTCGTGATAAATAATTCCGAACGGAAGGAGTATATGTGTGTGGCGGCTTTCTTTGCATGTTTTTGTTTTTTCTGTAGAAGAAAAGAAAGACACCCTTATGGATTTTTTTTCCGAAGGATGAAAATCGTTTCACTCTGTGGTGCTGCTGCTGAGATTTGCGCTTTATATTCTGCTGGGTGGGATTTTTGTCAAAATAAAATAAACATAAATCAGACAGGGATTCATGTAAAATAAAAAATTAAAAAAATAGTTTTTTATATGGTGGAAGATGCTTGAATGTGTGCCAAATTGGAGCGCATTTGAACATCTGAGTAGTTCTTAGCAAAAAAAAACCAAATTTGGGGTCTCTGAATTTTGTGCATTGTTTGGACAGTTTTTTTTTTTTGCCTCAGAGCTACTTAGGTGCCCGAATGCGTTGGAAATTGAATTTTGTGCATTGTTTGGACAGTTTTTTTTTCTCAGAGCTACTTAGGTTGGTTTTAGTGGAGTAACATATACTAGTATCATGCATATGATACTAGTGTATGATACTACATCCATAGTGCATAGTATCATAGGTGGTCTCATTTATTGCCATGCATGACACATAGTAGCATAACATTTATTATGTTATGGTATCTACCTATGTTACTATGACCATCTCTCTCTTCTTTAATTATCTGCCACGTAAGCATGTTTACGCGTCTCAAGTACATGCTACTAGTTATGTTATCCCCACTATGGCCAGCCTTAGGTGCCCGAATGCGTTGGAAATTGGCACGAATCTCACGCACTTAAACACCTTCAATGCAAAAAAGGTTTAGATTAAATTTTTATACTGTAGTATTTTTTATGAACTAGTAATAATGTACATGCAATGCACGTTTATATTAGGTAGGATATTAATTGCACGTTATATTAGATAAGATATATTTGTTGTACGTGGTATTTGGTAAGATATCAATTACTTTTTTTGCGGGAATGGTAGAATATTAATTACATAAAAGATTTCATGGGATAGCGTTAAGTCAAAACGTGTTTATAATCAATGGCAGTGATGGATAATTAGAGCGTTAAACGTGTTTGGTCCTCAACATTGGAGCGATTTGAACCGTTAGATAACATGATTTGACGGTCGAGAGGGTTTGAATCTGCCCCTTTGGGTATTTTTATATTGGTATAGATATAGATATAGATTTACTGGACTTAGAATTGGATATTCGATGTAAATCGGGATGCATCAGCGGGTTTAATCTAGTTTCCGAAAGCTACCCGTCTCCACAAACAAATCGGCGCTACATCAGCGGGGGGTGGAGCCGGTGAAGGCCAGCGAGATCCGATCCTTCTCCAACTCGATTAGGAACCCTCGCGATTAGGGACAGCGGTTAATAAAATAAAATAACACCGGCTAGCTACCTAGCTAATCACCCTACGGTCCCGTCCACACCACCACCACCGGCCCTTCTCCAATCGCCACCGATTCCTCTGGCCGGACGGAGATCGATCCCTCCCCGGCCGCCCCCGACCCCGCCGCAGCCTCCTCGTCGAGCGGCGGCCGCCGTCTCCGCCGCACGCGCCTCGCGCTAGGTACGCACCCGTCGATCCCCTCCGCCTTCTGTCCGCCTCTGTCGAATCGGTGCGGCCGAGAGTAACTCGAGAGGGATGAAGTACTCTGGTCGCGTCTCCCCGATCTGAATCGCCTCTGGGTTGGATCAGGTTAGCCGGGGAGAGGGGATTGATTGATTGCTTTGGGCGGCGCACGAATTACGATCGAATTGGCGGATATGTTCTAAGGTGTTAGGTGTCCGGGTATCAGAATTGGGGAGAAATAATTCGGGCTGCGCGTGAATTATGATTCGAGTCTCTTTCTTTCGCAAGCGATTCTGCCACTCAAGTGGATGCTGATGCCATCTGGATGGTTTCCTGTTGCTGCACACGGCTATTATTTTCTTCAGTAGACAGCAATCAGGTGTTAATCTGAAAACATTGGTGGGACTGTGCGGCTGTGTGTTTAGGCTGGTTGAGAGCATCCTATTCCTTATCCTTAGTCAAAGATAGGTTGGTTTGGTCATATGATTATGATTGTGATTCGGTCATATGGACCTTTCGACCATTAGTTAGTGCTCATAGTGTTATTTTCTTTTCTATTTTGCATATAGGATGTCCGTAATGTGTTTGACTGTCTTCCTTTTCACAATTCCAGAAACTTGCATAACTGAAGAGCCTCAAAGGGAACGATGGCGCTATCACGCAGTATGAGAACATGCTTGCATAGCGGAAGACTTGCCGCCCTGGCAATACTTGTCTCTGGTGGGATCGTATTGCAGATTTTGGTAAGCATCAGCACCTAACATCACAGCATCAGCTTTTTTATCCTTTTTTCCACGTTGCCTAAATCTCCTTAACTCCGTCTTCTTCAGGCATGTGCTCTTTATAACAACTGGTGGCCCATGTTGACAGGTTAGAGACTTTTGTTCGCATTACCAAACCTTTATCTGGTAATTGCTTTCAGGAGTTTGTAAGTAATCCATGGCATTTTGTGCAGTTCTGATGTACCTCATACTACCCATGCCGCTCATATTTTTCCTGGGCTCCGATTCTCCATCGATCATGTCAAATGAGAATGATGGGTAAGCGATTATCTAGTACTACCTGGTAGCCAGTACTGGTTCTGCGTTATGAATCACGTTTGTCAAATCTGATGATCGAGAACAGTTTTTACTTCAAAAGATATGCCTTACCTTAGTGGCACAGATGGTACTCATAACCTTTTCTGGCAGTGGTTCTTACACCATATCTAGATTTCAAACGATGGCAACTCTATTGTGGGACATCTGTGATGGACAAACATTCATACCTTATTGCTTCCCTTGAAATCTTTTCTTATATATACATGGTTAAAGATAGTTATTGTAGCTTTTTTTTCTTATGCAATTTCACCACTGCATGCAGGTGGGTGAACTTCACCAAGTTCCTGACGGGCGCGTCCATCGTGGGCAGCATCGCCATCCCGTCGATCCTGAAGCACGCCGGCGTCATCGGGTGGGGCGCGCTGACGATGGAGCTGTCCTCCTTCGCCGTCTTCGGGCTGGCCATCGTGTGGTTCCTCCAGATGAACTCCGAGGACGAGTACAGCGCCTTCTGATCTCCAGCGCTTCATCCTCTCCCGCGCCTTCTGATCTCCAGCGCTTCATCCAGTCCTGAACCTGTGGTCTGTGTGTTTCTAGTGGTGCCTCGCTAGAAATAGGGATCATCAACTTGTGAATATCTACAGTACGATTTGGAGCATTGGTGTGCTTGACCTTGTTTATATCAGTGAAGTGAGCCTGTTCAGTTGCATGTACAGTTATCCTCTGCCTGCTAGCACATGATTTTTTGTTGGTCGGAACTTGAACTTATCAGTCAGCTGTTTGCCAAGGCATCACTGCATACTCTGTCTAGCTTCTGTCGCTTTCCGTCAGTATGATATCTGAACAAAATGCATCTTGCTTTTTACTGACATCTGAACAAAATGCATCTTGCTTTGTCTGACTGATTAATTCTGTTGATGCATAGTTTCTGTTCAGTTCTATTTTTTTTCCCTATCTCAAAAAGAAAAACTAAATACTCCGCCCATTTCATAATGCAGCGCGTATAGATTTTTTGAAAAGTCAAACTTTACAAACTTTGACAAGTTTATAGATAAAACTTTTTATATCTATAATACCAAATATATAAAATATGGAACTACGTCTTATGATGAATCTGATGATATATGTTCTGCATTCTAGATGTAAATATTTTCCTCCATAAACTTGGTCAAAGTTTGTGAGGTTTGACTTTTCTAAAAATCTATATGCACTACATTATGAAACAGAGGGAGTATCTTGTTAAATAATGTCTGTTTTTTCTCATGTCTCAACAGAGAGAGAAAAGTTGCTCTGTTGATACCTTTTTTTCACAATGTTCATCTCTCTTCTCCTGTTTCAAACATTGTTACCATGTTCCCAGAATTTAATTTCCCTGGACAATAATACTTCACGGCTGCACAGCACAAGCAACCGTCCTGACCACAAATAGCCGGGGAAAAATACTTCCCCTGCTATTACTCATCTCAACTATACACCAGGTTCCTACTAACTCGTAAAAAATTCGCAACGGCGAAACAAAAAGAAAAACCACCACAAGCATCTCTACATCATGCCGGTCCCGGTGTAGGCGTTGCCGGTGTGGAGCTGCATCGCCGGAGCATAAGGGTAACCACCACCGGGGGCGGCTGCCGGCACATATGATCTGTCGAACGGGTTGGAGGATCCCTGACGATGGAACGACGGGTTGGAGGACGCCTGGCGATGGAGCGACGGGTTGGAGGACGCCTGGCGATGGAGCGATGGGTTGGAGGACGCCTGGCGATGGAGCGACGGCGCGCCCATCATCATCATCTGCTGGTACTGGTGCTGCTGCTGGAGCACGAAGGCCTGCTGCTGCTGGAGCATGAACGCCTGCTGCTGCTGCGCCGAGGCGTACAACGGGTTGTGCATCGGCTGCTGCTGATACTGCTGCTGCATCATCGGAGCCGAAGCCGGGGCCGGCTGCTCCCAGGGATTGTAGCTCACATTCTGCTGGGCATGCTGGTGTGCGTCGTCGTAGAGGCTGTCGAGGGTGAGCAGATCCATTCCACCGGCCTGTAGGGCAACAAAATGTCAGTTTGATTTCAGAGACATGATCAGGTAAAGAAACCGTAGCCAAGTGTTTCAGGTATTCACCAAATTTCTTGAAGTAGCAACATTTTCACTTGCACTGGGTTCTGTGATGAGTGCTAGCTCCCAGCTGGTGGCGACATTTTCGGAACCAGCAGCAGCTTTACGCGCATTATCTGCAGCAAAAGGCGAGAATCGGCACACATACTTTAGTGCCTGATTTTCTTCTTGTTTCTAACATTTCACGCGGTTAATAAGTTACGATGGTTCATCTGGAAGATATGTATGTACCTGGTTCAACAATTGCTAAGGCCAAAGCATTCTTTTGATCTAGCTCGGACGTGTCAGGGATCGGCTCATCCATCCCCTGCAAAGCAGAGATGAATTTGTTAGGCTGATTCAGTTATAAATAAGATAATATGTGGTTGCTCTAGTGACATGGAAAATTACCAGCAAATCTATTTGCTCGACTCTAGGCATGACTTTTGTAACCGGCTCTGGTTCTGGTTCTTTCTCTGAAGTTGATACTTGAGGAGGAGGTGGTGGAGTTGATGCTTCTTCCTCTTCTGGTTTTCTGTTGTACTCTATTGCCAGTACAGCCTGCAAACAAATAAAGATGTCGAATGAACAATCAAAAGCTTCGTTTTGCGATTTAACTGTTTCGTATGTGGTGTTTTAGTTGCTATTTTTACAATAATGATACTAACTGAACTGTGAGAAGCACCGTCCATTATTGGCTTGTAGAAGTTCAAACCTGATTTTTTGAAGCAAGGGGAGCATCTCTCACATAATCTTCCATGGCTTGCAAGAATGACGCGGGAGGCTGCATGTGTTATCGATAGGCAATCAGCAAGTTTACAAACATAAGAACAACAATGGAAATATACAAATAATCCTGAGGATTGGAACCAAACCTGTTCGATTGTTAACAGCTTCTCATCCCGCCCAATATGTATGGTTTTACACGTCTCGTAAAATCCAGAAAGTTGCCCTGCCTGCACAACCCAAAAACGACGATAAGTACAGAGAAACACGGACATCATTTCAGATGTTGTGCAAAACCAGTTCAAACAAACAAAGTAATTAGTTGACCAACAATAGGAGATAAACAACTGACCTGCTTAAGTGCTTTTTTGTATATGTCCAGGGCCCTAATAGCGTCGTCCCTATGCATATCAAAAAACTGCATTGTGCAGAAGATGTCAATGGTGTAAGAGAAACAAATAAACATACAAGATAATCTTTAAAAAATAAGCTAGTGGCCGGTACCTTGTCAACTAGATTGAGTATGCCATCATTGATGGCTGTCTGGATCCTAACGCTCTCCGTAGCAACCTTCCATTTACAAGTAAAACAAAGTTAAGGACTGATGAAATCACTATTAGATAGCTCACTGTTCATAAATGTTCTGAATCCTCACCATTGAAAGAGCATGCTGGATTATGGTGTTATAAGATGATGACCCATGCGGCTGAAAATATGAATCAACGGTAAGCAATGCAGATTTAGATACCATAACACCTCAAAATATTGGATCCGATTCACTTTGCGCAGAATAACAAAGCAATGAATCACCTGACAACTGATTAGCCGAAAAAGAAGTTGCGACAATGCCGGCAGTTGTGCAAGCAAACCAGTCGTATCAACATCTCGTGTTCCCTGCAGATAATAGTTATCACAAATAAGATGCTAAAGTGATCCATTGACACACTATGGACCAAATTTTTTTTGTTTCCATAATAAATAAATAAACTTGCATTAGATTACGTACCAATGGATCCAGTTCGACGTCATAATTCAGCACACGGAAAGATTCGAGCCTCTCTTCCAAAAACAAAGCGTAATTGCGTATCCAAGCAGAGTGATCCCAAGCTGCAAATACAACATGTCAGGAGAAAGTTCTTCTTATTTTTGGCGAAACAGAAAGTCCTAATCCAAGACCAGGGTGAAGTTAGCAGCAATTAGTACCATCAGGGCTAGAGTCATCTTTGAAATAGGACATGTGTAGCATCTGGCCGCTAGATCTTCCATAACTGATGAGCTCATCACGGAAAGAAGGGTCGACCTCGCGAAGGGCACGGTGTATGACAATCAATGTCTTGAGTGCAACCTGATGAATGAATACATAAATAAAAAGTTCATCAATCATAAGCAGCATTCCACCTTAGTTACTGAACACCACCCAGATAGCAGCAAGTGCAGCAGACATCATTTGCTTGGATGATGAATATCAGGAGAATTTATTATGGTGGACATACCGCCCAGTTGCGCGTCTTGGAGAGGCGTCTGGCGAGGGCGCGGATGCAGTAGGCCACGTCGGCCCGAGCCCGCCCGGAATTAAGATGCATGAAGATGTCTGGAGACAGGAAGCACATGATCAGAACGGTGGTGGAAATCAAAGCTGTTGTCCTTCAGTAAAAACATGTAGAACACTTGTTGAGAGAAACATGAGTTTGTTAGTACCTCTGATGTACTTCTCCTTTGCAGGGCGCTCCACATGGTTGGTGGCCTTGACGATCGCGATGTCCAGTTGCTGTTGCAAAGAGCGATTACAATACAGTTAAAACAAAAATCTCTAGAAGCAAATTTTGAGATGAATGATGCAAGAGACAAGAGAGGGATGGCGATTCCTTGTAGTAGTAGTAGTACCTTGTAGTCGCTGTTGACTTTGGCGATGCTGACGGTGGTGGAGTCCTTGAGGGCGCCCACATACTTCCTGATGCTGGTGCCGCCGCCGGCCATCGATCCTCGGCCTGGCAGACCCGGGGGCGCAGGGCAGGGCAGGGCAGGGGATCCTCCTAGCTCACCTTACTGATCTGCAACAAAGCGGAGCAGAGCCAACGGACGGATGCAGAGTTTAGTAAATGGGTAAAACTGCCAAGCTGCATCGCTGTCCCATGCATGAAGTACGAAAGAGATAGATGTGAGAGGCGAGACATCCAATCTCTCATCTATCAAACATCAGAGCGCGAACTAACAGATCGGCGGTGGGAGAAAGCAAAATAATCGGCTCGGGGTGGGAGAACGCAAGCAGCCGTACCAAATACCAAATTAAACGAGAGCCGATGCTGGATTTTGCTTTTTTCCCCTTGCAAGAACTGAAGCTTTTTTTCCCCTTGGCGGCCTTGTTCGGTTAGGCATGGATTGGAGGGGTTTGAAAGGGATAAAATCCCTTGCAAGTCAAAATCTCCCTCAAACCTCCCCAATCCCCTTCAATCCCTGTGGTGAGGGGATTAAACGAACATGGCCTGCAAGAACTGAAGCAGCAGGGGAGCGCGCAAGCCGTGATGCGATGTACTGTATAAATTACTTACCGAGGATGGATAGAAATGGTCTCGACTGTCGACTCGCCGGCCGGGGCCTCGCCTGCGTTGCGTTGCGCGGAGGAGCTGGCGGCGGGGTTCCTCTTGCTTGCTCGCTCGCTCGGGAGGGAAGAAGGCAAGGTGTGTGAGGTGTGAAGGGAGAG